TTAGATCGTTATCGAAGAAGGCAATGAAGTTTTAATAGCACATCCTAAACCTAACCTGCGGTGCTTAGGTGAAGTCGAAGAGGAGGAATGTGAAGAAGAGGAAGGCGGCTGAACTCCAGGCGAAGTCGCAGAACACAAAGTCACGAACGCAGGCGAAGTTGAACGTATGCAACCGAAGTTGACGAGCCGACGTTCGAAGTGCCCAATCGAAGTCGAATAGCACGCAAAGTAGAATACGAAGGAACAAATATTAGGTTTCATTTTTTTATAATTGATTTTTATGAGGCGAACGCTTTGTCGAAGTGAGGCAAGGCACACCTTTGTTTATTTGAGGGGTAAGCCACATGTTTCAACTTGAAGGCGTTCATCTTAACGCACAAAAGGCCTGAATTGTGCTCAGGCGCGCCTCTTGTTGCACAATTTTAAACCATGCCAAAATTCAAAAGTTTTTCTGATTATTTTCCAATCCATTGGATTGGAGCATTGTTATATATATATATATGCAATTGTTTTCTCCCATTTATATTGCTTAGTAGTTGTTTAAAATATTCAGAATAAAGATCACCAATCTTATTCAAAACTATTATAATTTGTGGCATATGTAATTTCATGCAGTTTTAAAATTATGAGATCATCTATCTGATACATCAAAATTTTCTTAATGGATGATTTTGATTGCATGAGAAGATTGTGATTTATTTTTTATAGTTAAAATTAGAGTTTTTAAATGACTTGAAGTTTAATTCTGGTGTAAATGACTTTCTAAGACTATGAATGAATTACATAAACATCACTATAGATTGTTTCATTTGCTTGTGAATTAAAGTTTATTATTTAGATTTTAAACATGTTTCATATTGTTGAAAGGTTTTGAAGAACCCATTGAATGATCATTGCTTCTTTTGAGGCAAGTATGTCATTTATAGTAATTTGAGATCTAATGACACAAATGTTTCATATTTTGGGTGAAATGATATCTCATTGCATCAAAAAGGCATATAAGTTTTTTTTTTTTGTTTTATGGATTTTAATGATTTTATTTATATTAAGTGGAAAAGAAGTTCACTTAATTTGAGTCAAGCAAATATGCCCAAGGATTTCACTTAGGACTTGGTGAAATTCAATAAATTGGGGTATGTGATTTTCAGAATAAAAGCCCTTAAAAAAATTTAAAAGTTTGATTTAAAATGGAGGATGAAATCACATATTTTGGCTAAGTTATAAAAATATATAGTTTGGGTCTAAATTAGGAAATCACCTATTCGAGTGGGTTAATTAGGTGTGCTTTGGCTTTAAGGCCAAAGGAAAAGAGAGCTACTATTTAATTTGAGTAAAATAAGAGAAGCTAAGGCTTATGTTCAAGAGTTAAAGGGATTATTTGTTTGATTGAGTCTAGCAAATTAAAGTGACAATTTGAATCTATAGCTTTGGGGCTAAGAGGCAAAGGAGGCTTCTATAGCTTGGAGGCTAAGGAAGAATAATCAGTTGATTTTGTATTTCATGTAATAAAGTTAATCTATTTGTTTGAATTGGGTTCAAACATATGCAATATGATTGAATATTTTGGCTTCCAACTTTGGAGTTGAAGCCAAAGAGGCAAAAACTTCAGAGTCTTTAGAGATGAATGTCAGGTTTGAATTTTATGAAATAAATTCAAGATCATCCCTTGACTTTAAGGTCAAACTAATGAAAAGGAATTTTATATTTTGGCTCTAAAATATGTTGACACTAATTCATAATCCCTTAGGAGTCATTTGAGAGCCTCTATGTGTGATTTTAAGAGAATCTTATAGCCAAACCTAATTGAGAGGAAGGTTTGGATTGAATTTGGTTCAATCTAAACCAAAGCCAACCTAAGTCTTGCCTAAAGCTGCTTGCATCATAGAAGGGTCCTAAACAAATGTTGATATTCTTTGAAACTTATTAAAAGGTCTTAGGATATCTTTAAATGGAATTATGAAGAATAGTTAGCAAGATGAATCCTTTCGAGGAATTCAAATTTAGGTTCGTCCTTTGCACAACTAAAACCATCTTAAACTTTGTTCAAAGGTGGGAGAAGATTCCAAATAGATTCAAAAAGATTAAATGTTATCTGAATAATTTGAGTCTATCAAGTAACGAAAGCTAGGATTTGGCTTTTATGGGCCAGGAGATGTATTCATCCACTTAATTTTGGGTTCAAACAAATGCATGCATATGCTTTAATAGATTTTGGAGCTAAGGAAGCATGATGGGTTTGATGGCATTGGGACTAAGGAGTATGAATTGTTATATGATTTTGTGTCACATAATATAATTGAGTTGCTTACTTAAATTGGGTACAAGTAAATGCATCAAGATTAGGATTTTTGGTCTCTAGCTTGAAGGCTGAAGAGTTATAGAATTTTTAATAATTTTTAAGTTACAGGAGAATGAAATTTAACCTGGAGCAATTTGAGCCAAGGATTATGAAATATCCTTATTTTGACTTTTGGATATATAGAAAATAAGGCATTTGCTTAATTTAGCTAAGCAAAATATGATTGAAGTTTTTGAATTTGATTTGTAGTTTGAGGATGACAAAAGAAGGATCCTAGAACTTGAATGTTTAAGAGATTTCCATTTGCTTAATTTGGGTTAAGCAAATATGGGATGCTAGGATTGGGCACCTATGTAAAAGGTTAAAGCCATTGATCGAATTCGTCTCAAACAAATTGCCAAAGAAAACTAGAATTTGGTTCTAAGAACTTTTGGCTCTCTCTTGAATACTTTAGAGGTTATTTGAAAACCTTAATATGAGTCCAAGAAAGCACCAAACAACGAGAGCCTAGATAGAAGAAGATTTAGGTTGAGTTTTGTTCAACTTGAATCAAAATAACCCTGAGGTTTGGCTAAGGGTGAACTCAGTCCAAGAATGCTATACGATTCATAAGATAAATTATTTAAAGATTTTAGAAGCTTCAAAATAACATGCAAGATAAGATAGAATTTCCTAAGTATGCCCCTATTTTATTAGAATGCCTTGGATTCATTAGGAAGGAAACATGTATGACTCAGAAAATCAAATGTGATCAAATTTGGCATGATGTACGGATTTTAGAAGTACAAATGAAGTGATTTTATTTTTTTAGGAATTTTTTATAATTATTTATGAATTAAAAAATAGTAATAATTTTTTTATTTAATTTCTTTGAGTCTTGAGAAATAACAAAATGAACTCAATTAATTCTAAACACTGAGAGATTTGAACAATAGACCTTTGAGGTTTGAGCACTCCACAGAAATTTCATTACTTTTGGAGCTAATTAAATTTATTAAACCATTTTTTAATATTTAAGAAAATTTAAAATCCTATTAGATAGTAAACTCCTATATTTTAGACTAATTTTAGATTGAATTGAATTTTATTAGGAGTTTAATGTAGACTATGTAGTTTATTTTGTTTTTTTTATTTTTATTTTTGACATTTCTAAGATGCTTTAGGATTTTTCTTTACAGTCAAATGTTGGCCATGCATAACTTTTCCACATGACACTAGAGAATCTGACATGTTATTTTGGAGTCGAAAAATTAGCAGAGATGTTAGTTGAAAGGATCAGATCCTTAGGATTTGATGTAGGTGAATGGATTGGTCCAATATAAACACAAAATTCATGTATATGGGAATATTGGACCCAAGTCCGATAACTCAATGCTTCATTGTCCTCTTGGGCTTTTGAATGAGAACCATCCCTCGAAGATCTTTGGATTAAAGAAGAGGACAACAAGATTTTGGGATTGGAAAGTTTCAATGCAGTACGGACGATAGCTCTGGTGAGGTAAAATTCTTACAAACTCAAGTTATGCCAACACTTCCTCATCTTTTTCTCTCTCTTGAACAATTAATCTTCCTTCACTTCTACCTTGCTGAAGGAATTTTGTAGAAAATAAGAATGGAGCTAGGGTTTTGTTGAAGCTCAGCTCACAAGCCGCCGAAGAATAAGGAGAAAAGTCGAATGAAAAGAAGAGGGAATAACATCTCTACTATGCTTTATCTTTGGCTAATTGGAAAGTAAGAAGAAGAGATGGGTGGTAAACATAACTATTTCTCATACCATACCTAACTATTCTTTTGCTATTAGCATGATAAATCAGTTTATGCATGCATCTCATGAAGAATGCTCGAGTGTTGCCACAAGGGTGGTGAACTTAAAAAGGGGACCCATGAAGGGGATTATTTTTTAAAAAAGGAAATTTAGAATAATTGAAGCCTATGCTGATATTGATTGGGTAGGTTGTGTAGTTGACATGAGTTTACTAGGGGACTATATTTATGTATGGGGTAATCTTGTAACATTGAGAAGCAAAAAAATAAAATGCTATGAAAAGTAGCTTAGAGATTGAACACCGATCTTTGGCTAGTGGAATTAATGAATTAATTTGACTAGTGGAATTAATGAATTAATTTGACTTAATCTGCACTTATAAAAAAACTTCAAATAATAGTCAAGCCTCTTATGATTTTATATATTGACAATTAGGCTACTATCATTATGACACACAACCTTTTATATAAGATTAAACTAAACATATGGTGGTATATTGATACTTTATTAAAGAAAAATTCAAAATTGAGATTTGTGTTTATATATTCCTTCCTCCAATCATAATGTTGACATCTTGACCAAAGAGTTGTTTAGATCCTATTTGGTGGGGGGAAGTCATTCGTCCTCTGTTGCCCTCGAGAGGACGAATGACTAAATAATAGTCAAGCCTCTTATGATTTTATATATTGTCAATAAGGATTCTATCATTATGATGAACAACCCTTTATATAAGATTAAACTAAACATATGGTGGTAGATTGACACTTTATTAAAGAAAATTCAAAATTGAGATTTGTGTTTATATATTCCTTCCTCCAATCATAATGCTGACATCCTGACCAAAGAGTTGTTTAGATCCTATTTGGTGGAGAGAAGTCATTTGTCCTGTCTCTCCACCTAGGAAGAAAGACATTCTCCTATATATATATATATATAATGTTACTGAAGCTTGTTTGCCTCCTAAATTTTAATTTATTTGAATTTTCAGGGTCTTATATGGTTAACTGGTCTCCTAACCTTCAGACTGCAGTTTCTGACTTGGTATGTTAGTTCTGGTGTTATCTATTTTGATGTAATAGTGGTTAATCTTTTTTACTTTCAGCTGGTTCGGTTTGCTTGTATCCAGTGTGGACCCAAATCTTTATTCTTCATTTACATCTCGCCAGCTATTTTTTACCTGCTTGCAAGCAAAGTTCAAGTGCCAGAACTTTGTTATGAATGGATGCCTTTTACTTAATGAAGCTCGTACTTTTACCGTGATCCATCCATGGAGTGAAATATTTTTTATTGTTATCAATCTGTAAGTGGGAGATTTCCTTGCTTATGCCCCCACTAGTGGATCCCACCTTTACATGTCATTGTTTGTTAAGTGCAATATTTATCTTAGCTTGTCATCTTCATTTATTTTGCAATGGATATGCAATCAATTTTTCCATATTTAGCTTTGAGTTTGTTTCAGATAATTCTATAGTAGGAAGTAGAGACTGAAGGTGCATTGGCTCGAAACATTTCAGGAGGGTTTAGATAAACTATAGTCTAGTCTAGCAAGGTCTTATTGGATAAGTTATAGCAATGTTATTTCAAGTTACCTTTCTTCCTTCATGGTACTATGGCATCAAAGGTATCTTTTCCCTAACTTATACTTAATCTCTTCAGTCATACATAGCATACCATCTCAATCTAATACAATCATCTTTTCTTTGATAGTTGTCATCCTTTACTTTCTATAATATGTTTATTTCTCATAACATATTTTCCAGATTTAGCAAGTTTCTACTCCAGCATTCTTGTTTTTGCTGTATACTAAATAGCTTTTGCGCTTCTTCTTGTTCTCTTTTTGAGCATCTTCTTCTCTTTTTGAGATTTATTTATTGTTTTTGTTTACGGGAAGTCAAATCTAAAAAGATTGGTAGTTTTTTTCATCGTTTCAGGCTTGCTAATGTACTCAACGTTTGTAGTCCAAATTTGGGTTGGTTGCTAAATTTGGTTTAAATATGACTTGGAGATTATCTGATTGTTGTTAGGAAGTTGAGCATTCTGAAGAGCCGGGTACTTTGTTTTACCTTAAGTACCGTGTTGCTGGAGGTTCAAGGTATTGATCTTCTTCTTTTATGCCTTTTTTGTTTGTTACAAGCATTTCATTTGCATGCACTGCTATGTCATATTTCTGGTCCCCTAGTTATTTCAATCAGCAATATGATCTCGTAATTAACTATGCTTTTTCCCTTTTTATTGTTAGGCTAACCTATATCTGTGTAGTTTTTTTGTTAAAAAGTGCAATCAAATCATTTTTAACAAATTTTCTTGATTTTGTAACAATTTGAACAGTCAAGTCAGAATTTCTGGACCACGCAAAACCTTTTTAAAATTTGATTTAAGTTTTTTTTTCCAATTGCTATATATTCTAGGAATTGATTGAATTTGGCTGCAGTCAATATTTTGTTATTCAAATAATTGAGCACATGAAACTATTAATTGGGCCAAAATTTTCATACCTTGTGGTACTTTTTACATGTTTATTGTTGATTTTATATACATTAATTCTTCATTCCTTGTTGAAAATTGTTATTTATTTTTTTTTGTTCGTTCTTGCAGAAATGACTTTTTGACTATAGCTACCACTAGGCCGGAGACACTTTTTGGTGATACTGCTGTAGCTGTGCATCCTGAGGTTAGGCCATTTTCTTGTTTAATTTACAAGAGTAATAAGCATACAATTTTAACATTGAAACAATTTGAACTCTCATTATTTAGAACTTATTCTCATTTTTATCTTTATTTTTCATGTTCATTTTCTTTGCTTTATCCAGGCATAAATAATGTGCTAGTTATATTTTTGACACACTTTTAGAAGAAATAGAATGGTATTTAAAATGATTCTGTCAATCTTCTCTTAGTCAATTCTATGCTAATTGTAATACATTTCTTATCAAAATATTTCATTTTCTCTTGGGTTAAATTGAAGATGTTTATGACATAAGTTGCCAATTTTAATCTGCATCAATGGTAACGGTCTCTTTTCTCCCACATTCGAAAGAATGAACCATAGATATCCCAAAAAATCATTATAGTTTTATGAAATGTAACTAGGTTTATTTTTTTCCAAACGATAGCTCTAGCTTGCTGAGCTGTTCTTAAAGTTCAAAGAGGGATAATTGATGAGAAGGCGAGTTTGTGAGGCATCAAAGTTGACAACTCTAAGATGTCAAGTTGTTGCTAAGTGCCGAAGAGGGAAAGTTTTTTAGAAGGCAAGCTCGCAAGATTGGGTGCTAGGAGGATGCCGATCAAGCTGACAAATTTAGGATAGGAAAGTTGTTAAGGGGATTAATGCCAAGATGGAAAATACGTGGGACTAGATCCAAATAAGAAGCCAACTAGAAAGCGACCATGCCGACAAATCCGGATGAGTTTTTGGCAAAGCATGAATAATGGATGAAGATAGTGAAATGACCCAACGGTGCAAGTCCAAGTTAACACGATTAATACTCAACCATGTTGTTATAAAGAAAATGGATGGGGATAATTTAATTCAAATCTTGTTAGATCAAGAATGGATGAAGTTGACCTTTATGTGTGTTGACTAAATTTGCTGAGCTATACTCCTAGATGACTTTTGTTTACACTTATTTGGAGGAAACTTGGGAATGAAAATTGGGTCACGAAGACAATGAATGTGGTCCCTTTGGTTTGGATTGTTCTTTAGCTTTTCCCATTATCTAGAAGGGGAGAACATTGAAAATTATCATTAATTTTATGAAGAGTGCCTCTATGCTTGTTGGAGATGAGTAATAACACTGATGGTTATTTGTCTTCATCTAGAGGCAGATGATATTTTTTAGTAGATGACATTTGAGTTGGGGCATTTTTTAATGTGGATCCTTTTAATTATTATTTTAATTTGTTCATTATCCACATGTCAACTAGTTGTTCCTTCTAAAAACATTTAATCGAAGTCTAAAAATCACTAGAAATTAATATAACCCTTGCAAGGGGTTAGCAAGAAGCCAAGAAGTGTTCCGCCCACCATGCCTCTATAGTGTGTATTAAGTGATGCATGAGGCATGTAGGTAGGAGGAACTCCCCATGAAGTCCTAAATAAGTTGTAGGGCCATGTTAGAGAATCTTGTGCACTTCGGTATGATTTTTTCTAGGCTTCGCCAAACATGTTCCTTTTTAACCTACTCTTTATTTTTGGGTTAATTAAACTCATCAACCCTTAAGTATTCAATATTACACGCACTTCCTAAGCATATTCTAAAATCACACTTGCCTCTAATTTTTGAATCTCTTAAGTTGATGAACTGGAGCTAACATATAATGCAATATCTTATATGAAGAGGTAAGTATATGTTAAAAAAATAGATTGGGCGTAATATGCTATGTAATATAAAAAAATAGGGGTGTCAAGTGTAATTTCTAATAACAAATGGGAGTTATGTGTAATATTAACTATCATAAGGGGGATAAGTGTAAATAATCCATTTTGTTTAGGTAGGATTCTAGAGAGAGGATGTTGGAAGAGAGGATGATGACATAGACCCCCTCTTAGGATTTGTGACTGTTGTTGGCTAACTTAATGGTGGCTGGGTCTGATGTCAAAATCTTGGCACTAATATGGAGGACAATTTTTTTTTTCTTTGGTATTTATTTTAGCATTCTAGCTATTTCTTCTTTCATTTATTTCCTTAAATTTTCTTATTCTTGAACTTGTGAAGCTATTCTCAGACTACACTTACGGTCTTCACAGCAATTGTAAAAGCAGTCTTCCTATCAAATGCAATTTCTTAAGTCCTAAGTTTTATCATTCATTTTTATCCAATGTAATTTCTTTTCAATTGCTATTGTTGCCTGGACATCTTTACAATACCTGGTCGACATGGCTAAATTCTTTTGTTATTTCCTCTTTCCATGTAGCTTCTTCTAAGCATGCATTTTTGTTTCTTCCACCTCATCACACCCACTTGATCTCCTAATCTTATGGTGCATATTGGTTAATATTTGCTTTGCATGTTTATCTTTTACAATTTTATGTTAGTTCTTCGTTAACCATTTAGCTTTGTTCTCTATTAACAGAATTTCCTTTCTTTTTATCATCATTATCCATTCAACATGTTTCATTTATTTATCACAGTTTTTGAGTAACTGTGGCCTTACCATTCTAAGAGAACATTATATGTCTTTGCACTTGGTTAGTCCAGTTACTAACACTGAAAATTTTCCTGCGATTAGTGTCTTTTATAATTTTTTTTTTGTATATCATCTTATTCATCTGTTATTGAACTTATTGCATCAGTTTTAATGCGTGGAGTTTTTTAAGTTTGAATTTTATATTATATTAATATGCACTTAGAAGTACTTTTTTATTTCCGACTTGCTTAGAGCCACTAAGCTACTATTTAACTTCGAACTTGGTTAAAATTTGATTATATCATGTGTAGCTTTATTTGCATGTAAATGATTTTTTTATAAATATTTGCACAACATATCTTGTTGCAGGATGAGCGCTATTCGAAGTACATAGGTAGACAGGCAATTGTACCTTTAACATTTGGTAGGCATGTTCCAATCATTGCAGACAAGGTAAGAATTCGTATTGCAAACTTCTATCACTTTTCATTCTGTCAATAGCTATTCCTGTGGATGCAAGTATTATGCGACACCTATGCCAACTTTTTTTTTTGTGTCATAAAAAAGTTGCAAAGCTAAAACAAGCTAAATTCAGCTATCTGATAAAAATGAATCTGGCATTTTGGTCTTGTAGTGACACGTGCGTTTATTCTTGATTGTGTTACTTTTATGCAAGAATCTGTTACTTTTTGGAGATAGTGCTTCACAAAGAGCCTCATTCTAGTTGATTAAATAACTTAATTGTTATTTTGAATAGCATACAAGATTTACTTGGAAATCCTCTTTTTTTTTGGGAAAAATTTGGAAATCCTCTTGAATTTATGGGTTGGTACGCCAGTTAAGGTTGTTATAGCTCATCTTGTAAGATGACTATATAAAAACGAATGGAGGCATTGTGAGGGGCTGGAGTGGCTATAAATAAAAATGGATGATCGGAATATAATATAGTGTTTGGACGAAACAAGAAGGGTTAGGTGAGGTATGCATAATGCATTTGTAAAAAATACGCATAAACATCAAAGAGTAGAAATTACCCCTCTCGAACTATCAATAAGAGTCCATATGCTTTGTTGTAGGCTATATAGAGATGCTTAAATCGGCATCACCATCATAAGCCTATTTCCAACAGCTCATGAATTTTAACTCAGATTTAGCCATTGATTGTCGAGATTGAGATGCTGAGTTCATGTGAAATTCAAGACTTTGTAGCCTTTAGCCTTTTCAAATGTGATCTACATCCAACATTTCCAGATGGTGATACTATAACAATAACAACATCATGCATTTATCCCACTATGTGGGGTCAGCTACATGAATCTTTTTTCTCCTTTGGGTCCTATTGAGACTCAACTTCTCATTTAAATCAAAGAAAAAAGGACATTTCTAATACTTTCTAACCAAAATTTTTTGGTCTACTTTTACCTTTCTTAACATTGATTAGATCTAGTACATTTACTCTCCTAATCGAATCATCGAAAGACTGACGTTTTATGTGACCAAATCATCTAAGACGATGCTCTCTAATCTTATTTGTTACTGTAGCTACTCCAACCTTTTGACTTACATACTCATTTCGCTTTTTGTCTCGAAGAGTAAAGCCACTCAATGACTCAACTAGCTGAGCATCTTCATCTCTATAATACTTAACTTAATTTTATGCTTCTCTGTTGATGACCAACATTCTGTGCCATAAAGAATTGCAGGTCTCAGCATCATCTTATAGAATTTTTCTTAAAGTTTGAGGGATACTTTTCGATCACACAATAGGCCTAATGCATTCCTCCACTTCAACCATCCAACCGGAATTCTACTAATAATATCCACATCTATTTCACCATCCACTAAATTTAATCCAAACATGTTTTGGTGGCTAGCAGTTCAGTAGAAAGTATTTCCTGATTAAACAATTTTTTCTAATGAAATGATCATTTCTCTGTCCAATGATCTCCATTATGAAATTTACTTACAAAAATACTGAGTTTTTCTTCTTTCCTATTTTCCCTCTAATTTGTATGCTTCTTATGAAAGCAGTATGTAGATAAAGAATTTGGAACCGGAGTTCTGAAGATAAGCCCTGGGCATGATCACAATGATTACCATCTTGCTAGAAAGCTTGGACTTCCTATACTCAATGTGATGAATAAAGATGGCACTCTTAATGAGGTTGCTGGATTGTACAGGTATAGTTAGAATTCACTGGGTAAATTGGAACTTTAACCCTTGGTGCAACAATTATAGGAGATTATACTTGCATGTTACTACATTTATTTATTATACTTCCCAGTGGATTAGATCGGTTTGAGGCTCGGAAGAAAATATGGTCAAATCTTGAAGAGACTGGCTTGGCAGTAAAAAAGGAACCCCATGCTTCACGAGTTCCAAGATCCCAGCGTGGTGGAGAAGTATGAAAATAAATGGCAATTCAACTTTGATGAATTTATTCATATCTTTATATGCTTGATTATTCTTGTCAACTTACTAGTGCGTAAAACTTTTCGTATAACAGGTAATAGAACCACTGGTGAGCAAACAGTGGTTTGTGACTATGGAGCCATTAGCTGAAAAGGCGCTCCATGCACTTGAGAAGGGAGAGTTAACTATTCTTCCTGAACGATTTGATAAGGTACCAACTGTTCAAGAATCTCGTTAGGCATGATTCTCTTTTGAAGTTCGACTAATTCTGAATGGGACTATAGTTCCTTTTGTGTTCAGTTGAAAGAATTTTTTTTCTTCTATATGTATTCGCACTTTTTTTTGCTGATATATAATATTCATTTTAGGTTTTCAACATACTTAAGCGTGGTGAACTTTGCATGATTATTAAGAGGCCCCTAATTGGCTTTTTACATGCTCTAACTTGACCAGGTTGTATGTTGTTTGACTGCAGATTTATAAACATTGGTTAACTAACATTAAGGATTGGTGCATAAGTAGACAATTATGGTGGGGGCATCGGATACCAGTTTGGTACATTGTAGGTAAAGATTGTGAGGAAGAGTATATTGTCGCAAGGAATGCTGAAGAAGCAATGGCAAAAGCTAATGAACGATATGGAAAATCAGTTGAAATTTATCAAGATCCTGATGTTCTTGACACTTGGTTTTCAAGGTTTGCTCTTCTAGGAAATGAAGTCTTTTCTTGGATAGATATGATGTATTATGCTACAAGAGGATGAAACAGTTCTTTTCAAATTAGATTAATTTGCTGTTCAATACCCGTAGTTTTGTGAAGGTTAAAGTTTATTAATTGATTGCTTGTTGATTTCTTGTACATGCATTTTTTATCATTTGAAAAGTTGTGGTTTTCCTTGATAGTTGGGCAAATATATAGTTATGATTAATTAACATGCTACTAATCTGTTTGAGTTTATGTAGAAAAAATTGTGTGATAGCTATAGCTAGAAATAACTTTGTTCTTTATTGTGAATAACTTCACAGAGCTTGTGTCATCAATTCTAGCACTGTCCATTTTGTTTAATGGGCTGGGTTCACGTATGGCCAAAAATTGTCTCGATTCAAAATTGCTTAATCAAAAATTGAATTGTTCATTATACAGGTTAGAATGCTTAACCCACACCTGACCTAATAGAAACCCGATTGACCCAAATTCAAAATTTGACTGCTTTTTAATATGACTGTTAGGCGAAGGAGGGTTGTCAACTAGTTAAAAAGAGGACATATTTTATTCTAAAAATTTTATGAGGTTATTTTTGGATTTTTTGGATCGACCGGAAACTGACCCACATATTAAATTGGTTGGCATTTTAGACTTAAACCTGAAATGGAACCCGAACCAGAGTTTTTCTAGTCCGGTTCATATCAAGTTGTCATGTTGGGTCATTTATTAGCACATCTAATTGATTCATAGATTTGCCTTAATTTGTTTATCTAACAGTCAAGTAATCTGAATTAGATGTGGCATCCTATTCACTAGTTTTGGATTTAAATTATTATGTGTTTTGTTGTCTTACCCATTGAGGACTAATTTCAGGAAAGTAAATGAAAATAAATTTATGAGGAAGATATGATGTAAATTTAAATTTTCATGTTTTTTCTTTTCTTGGATACTTCTTAAATTTACTAATCAACTTACATTTATGTGATGTAAATAATAACATGGTTTTGAAAAAGAAAAGAACTAAAAAGTTTTAATTACTAACATCTTTATCTTTTGATTCAGTTCATTGTGGCCTTTTAGTACGCTGGGCTGGCCTGATTTATCATCTGAAGATCTTAAAAAGTTCTATCCAACAACTGTTCTGGAGACCGGGTTTGTTTTTCATTTTTCTATTCTTTTGAATTATATTTTGTTTATTTGTTGATGATCCAAGAGTATTTTATGCATACAAGTTTTTTTCATTTGAACCATTAATTGCGATTTCATGAGTCCTACTTTTTATCACTACTAATCCTTAAAAAGTTTATGCTAAGATTTTTATGAAGGATTAATTACTATTTAAATTGTGTCAGAAATGCTATCAAATAAAATTTTTATATTTTTTCTAATATGTATTAAAAAACTCCATTCATTATGATTAATACAAGAATCTAATTATGTTGTGTATTTTGGTGTTGTGGGATCAAATTTTCTTATGAGTGAAATTGTTTGAACTTAGATTAAGGCTTTATTTGGGAGAGTTTTTTAATTGCTTCTGTGTTAGGAAAGCAACTAAAAAAAATAATAATGTCTGGATGATATCTTTTACATAATTTTTTAAAAATTTATATTTAAAATGTTTTTTTTTGAAGTATATTTAAAATTGTGGTTGAAAAAGAAACTTTAAAAAGCATAAATAGAAAGTTATAAATTGTCTCAAAGGAAGGCTAATTTAGGTTTAATTGGGTTAAAATTCCCAAATAAATCTATTCAATTATCATGCACTATGTTGTGTCCTTTAAATGCTTTTTTTTCTGCTTTTCCTTAGCACTCGCTAGTGCTTCTATGGGTCTGCGACCGCCACTTACCCTAAAGTGAAGTTGTGAGAATGATTGTCGGCTCCAATGTCATTGGAAACGGATATTGTGATAGGCCAAACCATCAAGTTGCTTTTACATGCCAACAACCCAATCATTGCCTGATTGCCTTGATTAAAGATTTAGGACAAGCTATGTTAACGAGCTCCTGATTTTTTGCTCGAGCCTTGAGCTATTATTAGTTTTTTTTAGCTCCCTTCGATGCAAACTAGCTGGTGCAATTGTAGTAAACATGGGCAAGGTCGCTATCTACACATTAGGACAACCTAGCACAAACAAACCTATTAACAACTGGAATAAATTAAAGGATCATTTTTCGGTTTTATTAAAGCCACATCATCACTCTGGATCCTGCTTTATTGATTAGGTCAATGAGTGGCTCAAAAGAAGAAAAGAATTGTTTACTAGTTTGATGATGGGCCTTTAATTTATTCCTCTTTCTTCTTGAATTTGAATTCGATTGTATTTTTCTTGAATTTTAAGTTATAGTGCCAATCATGAGGAAAAAGAGGGAGTGAGGTTTAGAGAAATTCCTATAAAGGTGTGCATCAATGTTGTAGCATATATGATTTAGGTATTGTAGTAGCATTCGAAGGAGAGAGAGCATGAGGATAAAAGGAAATTAGAAGGGAAAAGTAATGAAATGCTAGTGGGGAGCCCCTTAAATAAATGATATTAAACTCTTAAACATCAATGCAAATTTTGATTTAATGGTTAGAGTTTCATTAAAAACTCCAAAATTAAGTTTAAGTGAATTCGATAAATTAAAGCGATAGTTTCCGATCCAGGAAGGAAATTATATCCATATAATTGAAGATGGAGTTTTAAAGCGTCGTATAGATGAATGTCTGTTAGAGATAAACTTAGATTAGGGAAGGTGTTAAAATAAACTGCTCCATGGCATAGACTAGTTTCCATAACACCCATTAAAAATTGTGCCCAATTAAGACATCTTCCATCTCGAAGACATGACAGAATCGAAGCATTAAGTCCTCTTAATGTTAGAGGTTTGAATGCGATTTGGATTAAGCCAATATGTATATATTTGTAATCTTGTAGATAAGCGTTTAGATCATCGTAAGATAATAGTGAAATATTTTTTTTTGTTGAGTCAATTGTTATTGATTGTTCTACCATTTTTATGATAGTTTTTTCCTTTAAAATCAAAGGTACCGATTTGATATATAAATTTTTTATCTACTTTAGGTAGAGACCATTTATTTAAATCTTCTTCGTTGAAAGGATATTCAATTACTTCCGTGTTTTTAATATCGTGATAAGAGATGTTTTATCCCTAGGTAGGATAGATGAGGATGAGGAGGCCATAAATCTTAAAAAGTTGATAAATTTTCATTTTGCCAAAAAATGACAGAGACAATTAAGAGAATTTTCTTGAGATAAAATACTATAGTCTGGTAACATTCACTCAAAGATATGGACTATCCAGGACTTATTACCCAATCAATGGGTTTTACTGCCAAAGTCCAATACATTTAAGTAGATGTATAAGAATTATAGTAATGTTGGTCGAAAAAATTCGAAACTATACTTCTTGCCTCTATCATTTTAAAGAAAATGAAAACTTATCAACAATGAACTTAAGCTAGCATGGCTCTGATACCATTTTGACGATTCAGCGGTAAATTAAAGACAGAAAGTAAATGAAAGTAAAGGCTTAACAGAAAGAGGCAGAGAGCTTAAAGAGGCAGAGAGCTTACAATAGTTTTGCAGAACTTTTATTACAAACTTCTAATACAACTTCTTGCGGTGCCTTCTCTTCTATGAGAGGTTCACCTTTTATAAGCACTTCTAACTTACATAAGTGGAATAAGGAACATGCAGAAGGGTACAATAATAGAGAGCACTCAGACTAAAGTACAATAATAGAGAGCACTCAGACGAAAAAAGTACAATAATAGAGAATTTTAGTAAGTTGACATAATAATAGCGGTACGGGGAGCATGCGTGGAAAGCATTGATTTATCTTCTTGTTGGCTGACGCATCAGATTCGTTTGCTTTTAATAAAGGGGTCTTTGAAATTATTTTCAGAGGGTAAAATCGTCTTCGTCTTCAAGGATGGCTTTTCCTTTACTGGAAGAGGGTCCGGTTTCTCGGGATGGAGTACTGCGGTGTTCCCAATGTTCTGGAACGTCTTCAGATTTTTGAGAGGCTTTATCCGAGTCTGAAAATATTTCAGCTAATTGATTTTCATAGGCCTTTTGCAGACGAATTTTTATTTGATTAGGAGATTCATGCGGATATTTTTTCTGCAAATTTCTATGCATCTTTTTGAGTGAAAATTCCTCACGGAGGGGCAGGCTTCTTGTTTTAAGTTTGTTATTATGAATGACTTTATCAAGATGTTTGATTTTGTCAGGGATTAAAATGGCGGACCACCATTTAATAGAAAAATTACGAACGAGGCATTTGATTTGGATAAAAGTATCATTGTTGATTTCAATATTCCATGTCCAAATCCATGGCAATTGTCCTTGAGCAAAGAAAAATAATTCGCTCATGCCTTCGGCTAAATAATCAGGATTAAGCGTTTGCAGATGAGGGGACGTTTCAACCCATTCAGAGTATTTATGTTTCTCAATCCCCTATGATACCATTATGCACCTTTCTTTATGGTGCTCCCGAGGAAATTCCTCCTCCTCAAACTACCTCTCAATCTATTCCATCCTCAGATATCTTTAAACCCATCTTAAAACCTGCAGTAGAATCAATCCTTGAACTCAATATCGAAGATTATGAAATCATTAATCCTTGGACTTTATATCGTAAATATCTAGCCGATAACTCTTTTGTTCAAGACTCGTTTGATGATCGCGAGCTCTATAAAGCAATTCTCCTTCATTTAAAATGTATTTTCATTAAACATAATTATGATGAAAATCATTAAATCGCTTATAGTCGTGCCAATATCCTTCAAATTCTTCATCCTAAAGATTGGGGTATTACCCCATTTCAAACTCAATCTCTGGATTATACTAAAAATCTTGGTGATCCTCCTAAACGGTATTTATTTAATTATTGGACCTATATTCAAGCTATGTTTAAAGCTTTCTATGTCCTCAATCAGACTAAAAGTCATTCCTGGATGTTTATTCTTAGCCCAGATCTATTAGTAATCCCATTCCTAATTGGTTTTTCAAATGGTGGGAGCAGAAAGGTGCTACCATTCACATTCTTCCTCCCGAACTCAAACATAAATACTCTGAATGGGTTGAAATGTCCCCTCATCAGCAAACGCTTTATCCTGATTATTTAGCCGAAGGCATGAGCGAATTTTTTTTCTTTGCTCAAGGACAATTGCTATGGATTTGGACATGGAATATTGAAATCAACAATGATACTTTTATCCAAATCAAATGTCTCGTTCGTAATTTTTCTATTAAATGGTAGTTCGCCATTTTAATCCCTGACAAAATCAAACATCTTGATAAAGTCATTCATAATAACAAACTTAAAGCTAGAAGCCTGCCCCTCCGTGAGGAATTTTCACTCAAAAAGATGCATAGAAATTTGCAGAAAAATATCCGCATGAATCTCCTGATCATATAAAAATTCGTCTGCAAAAGGCCTATGAAAATCAATTAGCTGAAATATTTTCAGACTCGGATAAAGCCTCTCAAAAATCTGAAGACGTTCCAGAACATTGGGAACACCGCAATACTCCATCCCGAGAAACCGGACCCTCTTCCAGTAAAGGAAAAGCCATCCTTGAAGACGAAGACGATTTTACCCTCTGAAAATAATTTCAAAGACCCCTTTATCAAAAGCAAACGAATCTGATGCGCCAGCCAGCAAGAAGATAAATAAATGCTTTCCACGCATGCTCCCCGTACCGCTATTATTATGTCCACTTACTAAAATTCTCTATTATTGTACTTTTTTCGTCTGAGTGCTCTCTATTATTGTACTTTAGTCTGAGTGCTCTCTATTATTGTACTTTAGTCTGAGTGCTCTCTATTATTGTACCCTTCTGTATGTTCCTTATTCCACTTATGTAAGTTAGGAGTGCTTATAAACGGTGAACCTCTCATAGAAGAGAAGGCACCGCAAGAAGTAGTATTAGAAGTTTGTAATAAAAGTTCTGCAAAACTATTGTAAGCTCTCTGCCTCTTTAAGCTCTCTGCCTCTTTCTGTTAAGCCTTTACTTTCATTTACTTTCTGTCTTTAATTTATCGCTGAATCGTTAAAATGGTATCCGAGCCATGTTAGCTTAAGTTCTTTGTTGATAAGTTTTCATTTTCTTTAAAATGATAAAGGCAAGAAGTATAGCTTCGAAT